ACTATATAGCTGCGCCCACCCCCCGTCTCTAGCCTACACTCTCTTCGTAGCCAACTCATGTTAACTATTGGACTTATAGTTCTTAGTGACAAGTGACTTCTCATACCTTGTGTTCTCCCCAACCAGTTCATACTATTCAGATTGTTACTAGGAACCCTAACCCAGTTAGGCCCCAGTAGGATCTTTAACATAATACCGTATCGATGAATTTGGGGGGGGGGGGGGTTTAAAAAAATTACTCTTCCGTGACGTAGTGCCTATTCCATCTACAGTCGACTTTACTGAGTGAAGTCTTAGCACCACCAAACTTCCATCTTTTTCCAACCTTTTAACTTATATTACACATAATTAAAGCTCCTAATAGTCTCCTCAGGGGCTCCTTATGATAGCCTAAGTTTTAAAGTACTTAGGAGACTCCGAGAGAGTACTGTGGTGGGTAGTAGGCTGGGAGGGCTAGATAGGCGTCCTCGTTAGGTTTCTACCTCAACCACCGCCTGTAACGCATACCTGTGTACAAATTAGCCGCAGAATAGGCTGTAGCATACCAATATCTATAGAAATCACAGCCATTGATCTATAAACTGCGTGTTGTGTTGCTGAATAGGCCGTGAATATCTATGCTAAGAAATTACTCAGCAAAGTTGACTGCAGGTGGGATAAGTAGGGCCCTAGTATCCAGCGAGCTAGGTAGTTTTATAAGGCAAGACCCTTCGTGGTGAATGTACCTAAGGTCCTCTGTGCTTCGGATATTTCCACTTTGAACTCGCAACTGTCGAAGCCCTGATATAGGAACTTGTTCGCCTGAAGGTTCATTTTCTGCTACGCGCCAAAAAAAAAAAAAAAGATAATTATTTTTACGCAAGCAAGTATCCTTTTTACTAAGTTCCCCTACGAGCCTATCTTTCTGCGACCTATGTCGCGATTGTAAACTCGGTTAGCACAAGAGCAGGCTCGGTTTTGTTCTGCTTGTTGGTCCCGCGTTCAGTATTTTGCCAGGGCTAGATTTTCAGATGCACAGCCTGGATTTTGTTTGCCTTAAAGACCTAGAATTCGGAGAGTCGAGATTTAAGCCTGAATTTACATCTTTGATTCTAAATATATGCACTTGTCATCGGATATATTCAAGCAGGACCGCAATGATTATCCCCACTAAGAACCACTTCCACCAACCCAGTCAACTCCTCGATAGTAAGCGCTGATCGAGATATCATGGACTCGGTGGGATCCAATTCACCATTCTGAGGTGCGCCAGGGCCAGTCTCTGTTCCATCAAATATCGCAGCGAGGACTTCCTCGGATTCATCTGTGGCAATTTGGGCCTCTACTCTGCCACACGTATCTTCGTTTCGTCTTGTTGGGACAGAATGAGAGTGGATCTATCTGCTAGATTGTGTTCTGTCCCCCTGGCTATTCAGAGAGACTCTGTCTGTTTATATACACATTGGCCTGTGATCTGAAGGCCATTACTGAAACCTCCTATTCCGTCGCCATCCCATCACATGTCTGCGAGAACAACGATGTTGAGGTAGGTGCCCGCAGTTGGTGAAACGCCTAGCGTCTCAGGTGGTTTGCTACAGTGGCGATCTCGCGACTCTATCAACAGAACTGTTCAATATCGATGTGCGTGGGACAGCATGGGGCCTGAACGCCTCGAATCATAGAGCCAGTATTTTGCACGCTCACCGCGTAGTTGAGTCTTACGCCTACAAATGTGCCCTTGTCCAGTGGTATGTCACTTTAAAAGACATCCTTCACACTTTGTGTCCACCTCTTGGCTATGCCTAGGGTACACCATCCCCCGGCAATCGATCACCCCTGGCCATTCGTTTCGTACGCTGGATTTAGGGAAAAATAAACGGCGGCTGCAGATGCCCAATCAGGCGTTAGCCAGGTAAGCGGAAGAGGTGCTAGGAGTGCTTCCACATACAAGGCTTGAGTTTTCTTGGCTCAAATAAAACACATACACTTGGTGCCAAAAGATTCTTCCTGGCCTGAAAAGCCATAGCAGTTGACAGCTGACACCGTGAAGAGGTGAGAATCCGTCATTAGCCGTAGGCAATCCCCTTCCCTCCGGCCCTGTGATTGTGTGTATGAAGCGCATCATTTCGCCCCTCGTCAACCCTGAAAGACGAGAGGACTCGCAGCAGGACGCTCTCTAAGTTAAATCGGTCAACGCGAAAATTTCTTTCAGGAGTATACCGCCCTTGCGCTCAATCATAACGCTTGGCTGGCCGTAAATACCTCTATGAAGGCTTATGTTGACAGGGTTGCAAGATCGCTACTGTGGCAAACCACCTGAGACGTTAACTGTCTCACCAATTGCGCCACTTACCTAAACACCGTTGACCTCGCCGATCTGCGATGGCATGACAACAGAATAGGAGGTCTCAGGAAAGGCCTTCAGGTCACAGGCCAAAGTGTATATAAACAGGCAGAGTCTCTCTGAGTAGGCAGAAGGACAAGACACAATCAATCGGATAGAACCCCTCCTGTTCTGTCTACAACAGCGTACATGTAGCGCTCGGTTTCACGATTCTCGATTGCAATAGAGACACCGGCGACACCGGCGGCGACCTAGTTCTTCTGAGCGAGGTCATCATTGAGCAACTTTTTGATGGCTTCGGCAACCTTAAAAGAGAATTTCCATGGTGACCACAGCCGAAGGCCACCAACACCACCGATTTGGCACCACATTGAGCCGCTGTCCTCGTAATAGATCGGATTTTGTTTGCCATGGTTTCGAAGTCGAACACATTGGAATAGCCGTCGTCAACCATTCCCTACATCCGAGCCTCCTTGATTTAAGGGTGAGAAAGGGGGGCACATGAAACGATGTCCGCGTAAGAGGTAGAACCCCTCATCACAGTCCACAGGTTTCAATGGGAAAGTGCCGAAGACCACGACATCTTTCGAGCAGACCAACTGGTTTTTAGCCAGAGGATAAAGTTCCCCCGCCAACAATGTCTGGTATACGAGGTAGAGAAGTTCGGATGCAAAGGGATTCCTCCTGTGCCAAGGAGCCTTTCATTAAATTCCCGCCCGGAGCCTTGCCGCCACAGAAGCTGCGGATGACAATTCTCCTAGCAACAATCTGTTTGCAAAACTCGGCGAACTCAAACCTATCGCCTACTGGGAGAAAAATCCACGAGGACCGCGAATGGGCGACGGCACAGGGTGGGACAGCTAGTAAGTCCTCCCCTTTTACTCTATTTCCGCCATACGCCTTCAGCGCCCGGGCGCAGACTATATCAGGCAGCAACTTGTCTTTGGCTATTGCGACCCATGGCGTGTGTAGAACGTGACGTTGAGGCCTTTTCATATCTTATCAGTTACCGAGTTTTTCATCTTTATCTTTGCCCCTTCTACATAGGAGTGGTGGACGACTTTTTGAGATTGATTGCCAGACATGGCGTCAGGTTCCAATCTAGATATGACCCGGAAGATCTCGAGAACGGAAAGTTTCGTCCGAAGGTGGCTGGGCCAAACGTGAACCAGAGATACGGTCCTCGCTGAGGAAAAGAAAGATTGTGTGTCTGTGTCTCGAAGCCGATTCTCAAGGATCTTGAACAGTCACTGGAGAGTTATTTGAGCAGGTTCCATGTAAGATTAAAGGAAGACAGAGGCGATCGTTGTTGTGTGATTAACAAACCTTGGGGAGGCAGATTGAACCTCTCCAAGACTAGTATGTTCCTGTCTCACTTTACTCCAAAGGCGCGTTGCATGGTCACCCAAGGCTGCTATTCACTCAGTCCATTGCTAACTCTAACCCCGTTACTCTTGAAGTCACGGTATACGGCCATGGAATCCGTGTTTGCGATGGTGACGTGCTAATGCCGAGACGTTCGGCTACAAAAACTACGAGTTGACAAGGCCACCGCGCAACAACCGGATGTTTAACTATATTCAAGCCACCACGGAAATATTCTATCTCATGGTGAGTTGGTAACGTTCGCGCGCCTTCTGTCCCCAGTTCAACAATCTGAAGTTCATTACCGAGCCAGGACCCTCAACACGACCTTCCGTTTATGCAGAGCAGGATCAAGAAACAATTGGCGGTCGGGAATAATCAGAAACTTAGACCTAATCCTTCCAAACGACATTGGCAAGGAAGCAAGCCAGCACCGATCCGATCATGCACCCAGGAGTAAGCAATCAGCAGATGTCAACTGGTTAAGCCAGCGAAGAAAAAAGAGGGAGAGGAAGCGACAACAAAATCCAAGGATCCAAAATTGGCCCTAATAAAAGCACATCAATGAGGACCAGGTGCGGTAACTATCCTCGGCAACCGGGACTATACAAAGTATGTGGGACACAAAGCGGAGCCGAGGTTTGCTTTAGGTTCTTCAGTTTGGTAATAGCCGAGTTTCCTCACCCCAGATGGCCTCGGCGCGTGGAATTTCTTTATACATCAAAGTAAACAAGTCTTCCGCCTCATCATCTGATCTTGGCCACCAACGGTGAGAGAATTTTGCACACGATAGCTTCGCGATTCATCTTGAACCCTGGTGACTGGAGCTCCAACGGTGCTACTCTAGTGATCCACAGAGGACGATATAACACGGTCAGCTACCATGACATTGCAATCAGATCTCCGAGCACAGAACCTCTTCAAGTTTGATCACCATGTGGCATTAATTACCGGAGGAGCATCCGGGCTAGGTGAGATAGCGGCGCAGGCATTCGTGCAGAACGGTGCCAAAGTATTGATAGCTAGTCGCAAGGAGTCTGAGCTAAAACGGGTGAGAAATGCCTTCGCCGTGGAAAAGGCTTCTCGGCTAACATCCTAATCTACAGTGTGTTGCAAGGCTGAACAGCCTTGGTCCTGGTACATGCGATTTCATAGTTGCAGACCTTAAAGATAAGGCTGGCTGCGACCGACTGGCAGCTGAAGTCAAGAAACGGACAGACACTCTGACAGTCCTGGTCAACAACTCCGGCGCCACCTGGTACGGTTCATCCTCGACGCTGTTATCGGCAAATTCAGTGGCATATGATGAATACTCACGTACTGTATTAGGGGAGCACCGGCTGACGACTTTCCTGAGCATGGCTGGGATAAAATTATGGCCTTGAACGTGAAGGCAATTTACTACTTAACCATAGCGTACGCTAGCTGTCCTAAAAGCTCTGGAATTTGATGCTGAAGCTAAGTCAGGCTCATACCACTTCTTCAAAAGAGTGCCTCAGAGAGCAAGCCTTCAAGAGTCATCAACCTGGCATCCATTGCTGGACTCTCCACGGGTGATCCTACCGCTACTGGGGAAGGCGGTCTGTCAGTTGCAGGGCATGGAGCGTACAGCTGTATGTCTTCTTCCACCAACACCTCTACCTAGATAGAGACTTAGTTCTTGCAGACGGTCCCTCCAAAGCAGCCTGCATTCACCTCTCTCGGCAACAGGCGTCCCAATTCGCACCGAAAAATGTCTTGGTCAACTGCATCTGCCCGTAAGTCGACTACGAGATTGCCATACGCACTGGAAAAGAACTAACTTCGCTCGGCACGCAGTGGGTTATTCCCCTCCAGAATGTCGAACTTTGGCATTCAAAAGAGTCTTGAATTCTTCCTGAGCACCCAACCCACAGGAAGAATTGGCACGCCCGAAGACTTTGCCGGCCTGGTGTTGTACCTTTCTAGCCGAGGAGCTAATCATGTCACGGGCAATGTGATAGAGATTGATGGTGGAAGCATGCGCAGTGGGTGGAGATCCAAGCCAAAGGGCTCAAAGATGTGAACTCAAAAAGCGTCGAAGTTTACTGAATGCTAGATTTGGTCGCATTCGTCTGGCTCGATCCTTTCTGGGAGGAGATCTATGGCGCTTTGCGGCGTTGGCAGTGCGCGCAGGACCAGTTGTTTGCTCTGGTTGACCTGCGCAGTCTTCGATGGAAGCGGATGCCGTTGAAGACAGACGCAAGCACTTATTTGTGCTCAGAAGCGGGATTCTATAGAAGGTATGAATTTGATGTGAAGAGCTCAATTTCCTGGAAAGATTATTGTTGGCGGAGTTGTGATACAACCCTAAGACTTATCCTAGATTCTTCCCGGCCTGCAGTCTAATGTAGCTTCTGGCTGGCACCACATAGAGGTGAGAATCCATTGTTAGCCTTAACGGACGATGACATTTATTTTAGCCTCCCCTAGCTCGAGGACATAAATGTCACGCCACCAATATTTGCCTATATAGGCCGTGACCTGGACCATACTCGACTGCTACTAGGTTCACCGCCTCTCCTAGGTCCTAAGCTCTCTATGAGGGAAGAATCTCCTTCTATAACTTGAACTTAGACGGCTAGGTAAATCGGGTAAGCTGTGCCTTAATGGGCTGGCTGCTGGTAGGTAGCTACCACCGGCACATTCGTATATTTCTGAACTATAAAATTTTCTATATTTAAGAGTAAGATAGAGATTACTCGCGCTACTGCCGCCAGCGGGAACGAGCTAATATATCACACGTTGAACTAGGTTCTCGAACTGGCGAAAGATATACGCCTTCCTCCCTTATTGATGCTTAAAAGTAGTAAGGCTAAGAGCGGCACCAGTAGAGTTAAAACTATTCGTCTTAGCTATTAGTGTTAGGGCTGCTACTGTGTCCTAACTGGGTTAGGTTTCTCACTAATAGGCCCTTGATAGTATAAGCTGGATGTGGATAAAACAAGGTATGAGTAGTCGGTGTTACTAAGAAACAGTATGGTTCAATAGCTAATATGAATTGGCTACGAAGGGAGTGTAAACTATCTAGGGGTAATGAGGGTGTATATAGAATGCATGTGCTCTGTGCGCTCTACTCGCTCTATGCGCTCTACTCGCTCTATGCGCTCTACTCGCTCTATGCGCTCTACTCACAGAGCCAACAGAGCGTGTCACGTGACTTAGTCTTATTCTTCTGTAGATCTCTCTATATATTCAATAAGTGTATTGAGTCGTGCCTTTATAGCTCGTGATCGGTCGTCCTTAAGGCTATTAATCGATAAAATTTCATCGGTAATTTTTCCCGCGGCCCAGAGTATTCCCGAATACCGTGGTGGCCCAGCGAGCCCAGCGCCGCTCATGGGACGCTAAGCTAATATCTGTAAGAGCCCACGCCTACTATTAGTTATTAACGCCGCCCTACTATAACTATAAGTGCGCATCACATTACTTAATATATCCTTAATCGATACTCGTAGTTATAAAAGGGCGGGCAGTGCTGAACAATTTATAGTGTTGGCTATGTGTCATTCTTTATAGATTTAATAGAGTATTCTATGTTTTTAATGTCGTCTATCTATTTCTAAGTGTTTCGTCGGTTCTTTTCTACTTCTTAACGCCGTCGCCGTACTAAGCGCTCTCTACTTTAGCCGCTACCTCCCTAGAGATGGTGTTAGTTATAATATTATCTTATTAGCGTTAATTAGAAACGCGTTCTTAATTTCTAATCTACTAGATAGGCCTCTATACGTTATTATATATATACGTCGAACTCTAAAGTACTCTATTATACTATATCTTAGTATATTTATTTAAAGTCTATAATTAAATTCGTACTTAGTTATATTTAATTATATTAAGTATATTATATTTTAATATATATATAGAGTACTATTATATCTATTTATATCTAGTTATTTCTATTTATATTTAGTATATTCGTATTTAATTATATATATTATCTACTACTTAACTATCTATATTTAATATTAATTATCTATAGTAATCTTAGTGTTTCTTAGATTATAGTAGTTTTATTCTCTTAATCTAACTACACTTATTATTCTTATTATTTAATAATATAATAGATTTATCGTTATTAATATTTATCTTATTATTTACTTCATTTAACTTATTATTATCGTCTTTCTCTAAATCGTCGTTCGAGATATCGATAGTCACTATATCTACGATTTTATTTAATATCTATAAATTAATTCGGTTAACGAATTTCTCTCGACTAAGTCTTCTTTAGTATAAGGCTACTTTAGACGAGAAGTTATCGTAGTATAATTTAAAGATATTAAGATTATTTTAGTTGAAGTTATCTCTACGTAATATTCGACCGATTATTTACTTATATAGTTCGGAGTCGCCTTACTATTTTATTAAGATAACGAATTAAGCTCTTATTAATATTAGATCCGTACCTAATACTTTTAATATATTAATAAGAATATTAACTTTATCTCCATTCTAGAAATTAACTAATATCTAGTGACGTAGAGCTTTATCTGTTCAAAGGACTTAGAGAACTATCTAATGTATAGATAGTAAGGCTCATATAGATCGTAAACCTTATAGGTAGGTAAGTGACTATTAAAGAACTTAAAGATAACTATCTACCTAGGGAGGGTAAAGGTCTTTATATAGACAATAAGTGTCCACAGTTAAGACCCTTAAAATGTTGATTTCAAATCAACATTA